GTGTGTGTGTGTGTGTGTGTGCATGCATGTGCTAACCTCCCCTCTGACATTCAGTGCACAAAGTCTTCATTCCCTTTTCATAGTTACGATCCTGCAGGTTACAGTTGTGCTAAAGGCTAAAACACATGGTTTTAAAGGAGAAGTTCGACATTTCAGGCAAATAAACATATTTGTTCCTCTGTCTCAGCGTTGGACGAGAAGATTGACGTCAACCTAGCTTAATACAAAGACTGTTTTTAGAGGGACACTGTTGGCAAAGAGATAAATAGAACTCAACATCTCAGATACTCACAAATAAATAAGCTGCATCTTGGTTTTTATGCACAAATAATTATAAAAGGCGAATTGAAAAATGTCAGTTCTTGTACGTGACAGAATAAAATGATTATTTTTTCATGCACACATTAAGCTAAAGAGATGTGATATTCAAATTAGTCAGTTTGACTGTTTTTGCTTTGTGCAAAGCCAGGCTAGCAGTTTCCCCCTGCTTGCAGTCTTTATGCTCAGCTAACTACCTTCAGGCTGAGAAAGAGTGCGAACAAGTGTATTTTCCAAAATCTGGAACAAATCCTTTAACCTTTTACAATATTCTGTTCTAGTTTAGAGCTTTTCAACCTTTTCATTACAACATAAAAACTTTTGTTCATCACCTCAGACAAATACTTGGCCTTCATAGGATTAGATACTGGTTAAGAGTGTAAGTTGCCACTGAAGTGAGAACTAGTCAAACAAACATGGAGCTCCCTCGTGTTTCTATAATCACTGTGTAACACCAACTAATCATCAGATCATATTAAACTGTGTCAGAACCAGCCTCCTCTCTCCTGCTGTCAGTGGATGATGTGTCAGTGTTTTGAGGGACAGACGAATATTAAAAGTCAGTTGATGATGATGACGCAACAAGAGGAGGACGTAGCAGCCGGTTCACCAGCTGTGACTCACACATTCATGGCCCCGCACTGTCGGTCATTTCTGCTGATGGCACACTTTGACAGGACGGTCGAGCGCGGTGCAAAATCTCTACTCTGCCTTGGACCCTTTGCCGCTGGAGGAGCCTCTGAGGTAGGTGTTGTAGAAGAACAAGGCGAACAGGATCAAGTAGCTGAGGTACATGATGGAGCCCCACGTGATGTTGTCCAGGTTGGACGGACAGCGCACCTCATGCATCCAGTAGTAAACCAGGCCCAGCACCGTCAGCCCCATTACCATCTGCAGGATCTGGGTGGCCGTGATGAGCATGGCGAAGGGACGGGGAACCCGCATGCCGCCTGCCCGCGCCGCGTAGTAAGTGTACATGAAAGCGTGGACCACGTAGTTCATGGTCATGAACCAGCCGCCGCCGGCCACCTGGTCCTTGTAGGAGTACCAGGAGTAGAGCAGCACGGTGATGTGGTGGTACCAGTGCAGGAAGATGAGGCGCTGCTTCCGCAGGACGATGAACACAGTGTCGCCTGAGGGAGAAGGAGGAGGGGATGAAGTAACCACAGTACTCAAGTACACATTTCTTTGCCATAAGATAACGATATCTTAAAGCTTATCTCTCCTGCCTGTGAAAAGAGATACATTCTTTTCGAACCGTCACTGCTCACATTCTTCCACGTGAACTCTGCAGAGTTTCTGACAACTCGCATGGTGACGGTGGAACAGGTTGTGATCATGTAATTCTTCAGAAAATACTTGTGCCTGAGAGAAGTTACTTCATATAGGGGAATGCAGAATGTACTTTCTCTTCTAGTTTCTACACTGACCCACCCCCACCCCAACCCCCACCGGCATTTTTGGGTATCGGCCCAGATAATTCATATGGGTTGGGCTCTATTTCTTTCCCTTGAGCACAGAGCTTGCAACTCAACGAATGTCAGATTTAAAATCTTGTTTTCCTCTGACATGATAATTCTCAATACATTTACAACTTTGGCAAAAGTGTCCAAATGCTAAACATTTAATTTAAATGACTAATATAGTTTTAGTCAAGTATCCATGTCTCTGCGTCCTCTCCGATTTCAGCAGTTAATTAAATTAACCAGAATTAACCTACAGATCTCATAAGACTTTTAGAAGGAGATATTTTTCCGTCTGTGTGCCCGTCCAGTGGGAGGATGAAGACTCACTTCCTGCCTGCGGCCGAGGAAACATTGTCTCTATCAATCATGCACTAATAGAATTTTCCTGCCACCTCAGCATCTGCCTCCATTTCCAGGATCGATCGGTCCGCCCGACCAGCTCGAGAAGTTGTCCATTACCGAGCCGATCCGGAGACGCACTTCTTAAGATAATTGCAGATGAACCTACTGGAACGTTTAAATGCTCAGAGGAAACAAAGGTCACGAGTGAAATGGTTTGGAGGCCTTACCCAGCTCGGGGGCTTTGCTCAGGACGAAGGCATAGGCCCAGAATCTGGAGACGGGGGCGCTGTAGAAGCTGATGTCACACACCGACTGTCTGAAGCCGCTGGTCGTGAGGATGTGCATCATGTAGAGACCGGTCCTGAAAGCTCCTATGATGCTGCGGAGCAAACACATGAGTAAAGTATCCACATTAATAAAGATGGACGACACATCTCCACTTCCTTGGCCTCACTTTTGGGAGGTCTCTGGTGTCCTTGCACAAACCTCCTGCTTCCCTGTCAGGAGAGGAACCGAGAGAGCGACTCACCTGAACACGGCCAGGCTGAGCGACCACAGCACTAACGGGCGCCGCAGGTTCAGCTTTGGTCTTTCCCTCATGAAGTGCTGGCCGGCGAACACGAGCGCAGCGTACAGGCCGCAGAACATGAATGACTTGCTCCTGCGGAAAATAAAAAGGACTCATTAGCTAATCTGAGCAACACAGAATAGACTCGTCATCGTTTCGTAAAAATAAAATATGGACTAACAAGCAGTATCAAGAAATATCAAGCTGCAGGGAAGAGAAGCTCAGAGGAGACATGATGTAATAAATACATGAATATCGGTATCGATATTGGTGATATTCTGTATCTGATAAAAAATGTGATTGTCCCAGTTTTAAATCCTAAGTGAGTGAGATAACCTCCACATCACCAGCTCCACGTGAACTTTGACCCAGTGAGGAAGACGATGGACCCTGATCAGCTCGTCACACCAGGACCCACAAGGTGATTAAACACACGGAGTGAGATTACGTGAAAGAAATAACACAATTAGATGAACAGACCAGACGAAGCAGATGAAATGACAAATATGACACGATTTGACCGCCTGCGTCCTGGCTGCTGGGACCGTGACATAATGTCCTTTTCAAAGTAGAAGTTAAAACTGAATTTAAAAGCCTCCTTCAGCTCAGACTTATCCTCAGTTTTGATTATCAATCAAGATCAAGAGATTAGTTTTGACGCCTGCTATAAAGATCGACCCTTCTAAAAATGTAAATCCACCCAGTCTCACAATGTTAAAGACAGTGATAAAGACAACGAAAGAAACTTCTTTTGTCTAGGACTGTTTACCATCCGTCCCCCGAGTTTCATGGAAACCTGTTTGGTAGTTTTTGTGTGATCGTGCTCACAAACACACAACCAGACTGGTGACAAATAACTAACGACAGCCAGCAGCAGAAAATGTCAACAGAACAGTTGAGGTCACTGCTGAGGTGAAAACAATCACGTGTCACGAAGACGTAACCCTCTCTGATTTCTTTAAATCAGTCTTTACATGAATCAGTGAAAGATTGACACCATGTATATTACGCTGAGGAGAAGCTGCTGCTGCTGTTTGACCCACTTAACGCTGCACCGGTTCCTGATATTCATGTCCTGGCCCAACTCAAAGATGCAGAAAAACCTGTGTGAAGATAAATAACTCGCCAACAAATGCCTCCTCTGTCAGATACTGTCAGATAATTCCAGTTTCACAGGAGAATCTTTAGACACAACTTAAATTAAAATATAGAAGATGGCTGAGAATGCAGAGAGTAACTTTGAGAAAACACAGAATCTGAGTCAAGGTATTAGGAAAAGATGAAGGAGGGCTGGTGCATCACTAAAGTGCGTGTGTGTGTGTGTGTGTGTGTGTGTGAGATACTGCCCGAGAACAGGAGCTGATATGAAAGAGGACGCCTCCCTCTCTGCAAACTGCAGCATGGTGGTGCAACATGATGCTTTAATTACACCCCTCAACCCTGTGTGTGTGTGTGTGTGTGTGTGTGTGTGTGTGTGTGTGTGTTCACCAGCGTGTGCAAAAACACAAATTCATGTTTTGATGATAAAGTTCCTGATTTGAATACAGATCAAATGTTTGTTCTTGATTCTCCAGCAGGCTGCGTTATATACGATATATTCTTCTAAATGGAGCAGAACAGTTTTGTTAAGTGTCGCATCAGTGAGTTTAATAACTAATTGATCGTTTAAGTATAAATCCTCCAAGCTTCTCTGCTACTATTCACTTGTTCGTGTTGAAGGTGCAGAGCTCTGGAGGGAATAGGAAACATTTGACGGCTCATGACTTTTCACTGAACCTGCTCCTGTGACACAAACTCAGCTGCTGCGGGAGGTTTCAGTGCACGGCCTCATCACAGCGAGGCTGAAAAAATGTGGTCTTACTTGGTTTTCCTGGAGGAGTTGCTCAACGAGAGCTCACTCCCTCAGCACAAGACTTTCTATTGGACAAGGAGGAGACGTTCAGTAACTAAATACAGTCCTGAGCTTGTGTACTTCTGTTTTCAGTATCTGTTGCTTTATATTTCAGGTAAACACATTTTAGTCCACTTCCGTTAACTTGCCGGTTTGGAGTCATGACACAAGGGTGAAGGTTTAGAGAAGAGAATTCAATATCAGCTTCCAATAACAGAGGAAGTAAAAAATAAATACTGTGCACGGCTGAACGTGAATTTTAAATGTATTATTTTGTTCAATCAACAAAAACAAGCAGAATTCTTCTCATTCAGGAGACTACAATCAGAAAATATTCAACACTCATTATTTCTGCTCAATAAGTGACTGAAGAGACTAATAACTCACCAATAATTCACCAATATATCTACTGATTAGTTTTTTGATTAACTGATCAACTGTTCAATGGATCCTCATGTTATGTAAACT